TATAGCTGATTCTTCGGCACCAGCTAACCAAAACCACAGAATCTTCACAATCAAAATAGCAAGAGCCCTGATAAGAGTCTTTAATCTTCCCTCTAAAAATTTCACAAGCCAGGACTCCATCTTATATACTGTTCTTAACATTATCTTCCAAGGTCCTACAGAACATCCCACATAGCTCTTAACATCCTATACAAGTGGCTCTTCTAGCAAATAGTTCCAAAGTCCTTCCATAGTCCTCCCCAAAATATGGTCAGTTTGTCACAGAAATACGCCACTATGCTGGTACCAACTTCTGTATTAGATTTCTCTAGAGTCACAGAACCTATGGGTACTCTCTGCATGGTAAGGGAATTTGTTATGACTTACAGTCTGTAGTCCAACTTCCCAACAATGGTCAGCAGCAGCAGCTCTGAATGGAAGTTCAAGGATCTAAAAGTCTAGCAGTTGATCAGTCCCACAAGGCAAGCAGGTGAAGAAGAGAGAACCTTCCTTTTTCTAACATCCGTTGGTCTCTAGCAGATGGTGTGGCCCAGACTAAGGGTGTGTACCACCATGCCTGGATCTCGGACTTGCTTTGTCCCAGATGACCTTGAACTCAGAGATCTCCTTGCCTTAGTCTTCTATGATTCATAGCCACTATGCCTCAAGATTTCCATGCCAAGATCCAGGTGAGAAACTTGTGTCTATCAGCCTCAAGATCAGTACACAGGTAAGCCTTCCAATTCTGGATTGTAGTTCATTCCAGCTATAGTCAAGTTGACAACCGGGAATAGCCACTACAGTCTTCATGTACACCGAAAGAGGGCGTTAGATCCCATTGCAGGTGGCTGTGAACCATCACATGGTTGCTGAGAATTTAACTCAGGACCTCTAGAAGATACAGTGCTTTTAACTTTTGATCCATTTCTCCAGCACCAAGAGGACTTTTTCTTAACTAAATCACTTAAAATAGGAAGTTCTAGGTCTAATCTGGATCTTTGAGGTAGGCAGATGCACCTTTACTCTGGATCACAACTTCTACTGTCAGCTTACTTAAAGAAAATGGAAAGAAGGTGGAACTTTGCTTTCTTTTTGACTGCTTGACCCTGGAATTGCTAACAAGTTCATTCTTTCACTAGCAATAGAGCCACTTTTTTCAGGAATCTGAAATATACTGAAGACCAGCTAAGACATACAGCCTCATGAGCTGAATAACTAATGAGTTCTTGGGATTTTCCGTTGGTAGACAGCCAGTTTTGATTCCTCTGGACTATAACATATAAGCTATTCTAATATAACGCATGTCTATACAGAAATAGATTCATTCTATATGTTCAATTTCTCTAGAGAACCCTGACTAATACAGATAGTATACAAGGTGACTCTAAAATATTTTCTCAACATTAGTTATTATGTGATCATTTAATAGAATTCTTCATGTTATATTTACACTCAATGGTAAAAAAATTTTTGTTGCTACTTCATGACTGTAATTTTGCTAGTTATAAATGGCTATGTACATATCTGATATTTCAGATAGTCTAATTTGACTTCTGTGAAAGAGTCATATAATATCCTTACAGATTAAGAACACACAGGTTGAGAACATGTACTCTAACACTTCCTCCAGAAAACTCTTACAGCTAATAAACACTTCCAGCAAACTTCCTGAATACAAAATTATCAAACAAAAACAAGCATTCTTTCTATACAATATAAATGAACTAAAAAAGACATTAGGGAAACAAAACCTTTAAAAATAGCCTCCAAAAATATAAAATATTTTGGGAAAACTCTAATACAGCAAGGGAAAAATGTGTATCATTAAAAACTTTCAAATATTGAAGAAATTGAAGAAGATATCAAAGGATGGAAGGATAGCCTATGCTCAGTGAACAGCAGGGTATAGTAAAAAAGGTAGTTTTCCAAAAAAACAATCTGCAAATTCAATCCAATCCTCATCAAAATTCCAACACAATCTTCAAAGAACTTGAAAGAATAATTCTCAACTTCACATGGATATACAAAAACAAACAACAACAAAAAACATAAAAGCAAAAATAATAAAAAATGGAGGTAGCTAAAACACCTGGATAATAATAATAATATTAATAATAATAATTCTGACTGTATTGTTTATCTTAAAGACGGGAGTAGAAAGGCCGCTGAACCCAAATTGCTATTGTCAAAGTAGTTAAAACAAGGAGTTAGTTAAAGGAAGCTTTCTTATTCTTGTACACCAACTGTCTCTCCCTAAATGAGTTCCTGAAGTCAGCATTTGATGCAAAGAAGACAACGGTTGTATAGCTCAGCAGTAGGGGGTTTCCAAGTAGGGGATTTGTTGGGCAAAATAGACAGGGTTACAGAAGAAAAACATAAATGTAAAAAGTTAAGCATTTTTGAGAGTTACAAGTTTGTCATAACACTATAGTCATAGGTAGTCGTATAGAAATTTATAAACAATGAAAGGGTTGCAAGATGGTTATAAACAACTTTTTGAAACAAAGACATGATTATATTTTCTTGAAAAGGCAATATAGAACAATTTGTAGTTACAGTTACATGTGGAGTATTGACCAATCCTTGAGAAACAGAGGTATAATCATAAACCTAGCTTTCTTTTACTATGAGATGGCTTTTAAGCCTAAGATGATTACAGTCTTGTTCTTTAGATGTGATCTCAAATTGTGTTTTAGGGTATAGTAACACCATGGGATTGGCACAAAAACAAATACATTGATTAATGCAATAACATTGAAGACCCAGACTTAAGTCCATATACCAATGGACGCCTAATTCTTCTGAAGTCACAAAACACAATAGGGAAAGGACAATATCTTCAACAAATGGTACTGATCAAAGCAAATGTCTGAATAAAGAAGAATGCAATTACGTATATACTTAACAACCTGCACAAAACTAAACTCCAACTGGATCATACCCTCAATAGAAGGGGAGATACCCTGAATCAGACATGAGAAAAAGTTGGGAATAGTGTTGAAGTCATTTTTACAGAATTTTTTTTTTCTGAAGAGAAGACTGATTGCACAGGCTCTAAGAACATCAGTTATAAAATGGGACCAATGCAGCTAAACAAACTTCAGACTGTAATAGTGACTGGCCAGCAAGATATGTTTGGCTGTTCAATAGTGGTATACAGCCTGTGAAGGTCACCAAGCAATATCTGGTTTGATTTACATCATGCACCCAATGAGATAAACCCATTGCCAGTACCGCTTGGGTAGATAAGAACCTGAGATTAGATAGGCCAGGGACTTAGGAGAAAATGAAATACTAATGTTCTTATAAAAGAATGTAGCAATAAAATGACTCCTAATGACAATCTACTGAACTCATAGATATAAGGTTGCTAAATCATCATCACAGAAGCTTCATCCATCAGCAAATGGGAAGAGATACGGAGAGCCACAGCAGGAAAATATGAGAGAGTGAGAGACCTTGAGACACTCAGTCCTATATTCGATGTCACCACTACATTCTTTCACTAATAGCCCAGTTAAATTTGTGGAAGAAGTGGTAGAAAGACTAGAAGATACAGAGTGGATGGATCACACCAAGGAAACTAGGCCATCTAAACACAGCGCAATGGACACATATAAATTCAGAGACTGTGGCAGCATGCACAGAGACTGTACAGATTGCACCTGATAGTGTCCTAGAGTAAAAGTAGATAAAGCCCCTCCCTAACTCAAAAACTATCTGGTTTTGTATTTTTATAAGATTCTGGTGTTGAACTTGTGTGCTTCTATGTCTGTATGAGTTTATTGTTCTTTTTCTTTGACTCTTTTATAACTGTTCATTTTGCTCTATTGTAGTTAGTCTGTTTTTGTTTTGAATTATTGTTATTTTATTATTATTGATCAGGTGCCTTTTTGTTTCATAAGGAGAGACAGAAAAAGTGTTGCTCTAGATGGTAGAAGAGATGTGGAAGAACTGGGAGGACTAGGAGAACAGGAAAACCTAATGAGAATATATTGTATGAAAGAAAGTTTGTCCTATAAATGAGGAACATAATTCCTAAATGGTAGGGTATGTTTGAACCCCTGTGAATCCAGGACCAGAGAGACAGAGATGGGACAATCCTTATCTGATGGGCTCTTATTTGGTTAAAGCCTACTTGGTAAGCTCCAGATACAGAAGAGACACTCACTCTCTCATAGCTCTAGGTGAAGTGCTTCTGAAAAACAAAACCAATGTTGTCTCTTGTTGTCAACATGAACACACAATTTTTGTCAGTGAACATATACACAAGCATACAGACATTCATAAAAAACACATTGGACATATGTATCTGTATATACAATATTTATTAATTGATATTTCAATGAATATAGATTAAATTAAGTGTAAAAACAGACATAAGAAAGCGTCATATAGTACTATTTGAGCAACAGTGGTAAAAATGGAAAGCAAATTCCCATTAATTTATTATCCAGAGAAATTTGAATTGATAAACAGAATTAAAGCTATGATGTTACCTAAAGTATGAATGAATGCAGATTTGGATGGTTTCAAAGAAGAGGCTTAGAAAGTCACTATTACTGAGGAGTTTCTTTTCAGTAACTTCGGCATCAAAGACACTTTTATGATAAAGTGAAAAGAAGAGAGAAGAGAATTCATGTGGAAAGAGCAACTTACGCTGTACAATGAAGTTAAGAAGTTTATAGTCCTTCACATAAGTAATGTCAACAGAATATATGTATGTAATACCACAAACATATCTGAATCACATGAAAAATGACACTTTGTTACTTGAACAAGTGAAGTTTGAGCAGAGTCTGTAATTTAAAAACACACACACACAATTACCAGAGCTACACCAGCATGGCAGCTACAGTCATCTGAAACTGCAGTTCCGGGGAACCCAAGACCTCTTCTGACCTCTGTGCATATCAGGAATGCAGTTCATACATACATGCTGGTACAACACTTGTACATATTAATAAAAATAAGTGAACCATTTTTAAGGGAAGAGAAATGAACTAGATTTTTCAGAAAATCTAGTGGCACGTTGACTGCAAGTTTTTCAGCACATTGATTATTCTCTTATCAGAAATGATTTGTACCAAAGGAGTAATTGTGGGATAGGCATACATTACAAACTTCTGAGCAGTCAGAACGACTGGGTCATATATCCATAACAGGAGTGAGGTGAGTGAGATGATGAAGTCCACCCAGTACATGACCACAAAGAAAACTACCATCAGCAAAATGGTCTGTGTAGCCTTTTTCTCAGGGGATGCTATCAGGTGGCTGATGCTATGAAGATACTTGTATTGTCTCTGATGTCTTTGCAAAATATACACCATGTATGCACTTGTGGTCAGCATGACTGCTACAAGAAACATATCCCTGGAAGTTGAAAGTACAATACTTAATCCCCTGACAATGTAGTTCATTGGGAAGAGTGAGCAGGATTTAGTGACCTTCACCTGCTTAGTCTCACTCACATTAGCAAAACCTCCAACATAAAAGAGCATGTTACTACTTACAGACAAATTGAAAAACCAAATATAAAATAATGCATTGATCATGTATTTTTTAAGTTTCTGTTTAAATTTTGCCAGCAAAGAGGTACTGGGGCTGATTGTGATGGCCTGGAACACACTCAGAAGGCAGGTGATACAGATAGATTGACCTCTCATTACCCTATTTGTGTAAAAAGTTGCCTTACATTTGATTTCATTCTTAATGTTTAGTGACTCAAGTATGTCTGCAAGCCAAATATCTCCTCCAGTGAGGATCATCATTATGTGAACCAGGGTCAGTTGACAGGAGATTAGATCCATGAGTTTAGGTCTGTGACCTAGGATTAGGAAAGTGTAGAAAAGAAGAAGAAATATATTGGGGAGGACTCCAATTCCAACTTGGAAATAAAGGACCTTCTCTAATGAGGACATAAATGCAGAGTGTACTCATCTTAAAAGCATAGTAGCAGTGTTTTCATCTATCTGAAAAAAATATAGAATACGTAAAACTTTTTATTCATTGGATGGTGTGTCTATATCACTATTCTACTATGTCATTATTAATCTATCTCTGACCACTCATGTTCCAGAAAATTCTTCATGGGCCATATTTATACATACCATCCATATGTCTCCTGGATATAAAACATTATAGATAATAAGAGCCTTTATATTCGTAGCTATACAGAATGAACACCTTGTCTCACACAACTAAGTCTAATACCTTAGAAATCCAAACCTGTTGTCTCATTTTTCAATTGCTTCATTTTCCATTTAACACCTAAAACAGTGCTAATGATTACAGAATATTTATTACATCCATGTAATAAACGTATGTTGCTGTGGGAAAAATATCAGGAGATTCTACCTCATATTCCATAATTTTGCTATACTCTTTGGCAACTATCCTGGTTTTGACTCATAATTCTAATGGAATTACAGTGATAATTCATGATTATCTTACTATTTTAATCGTGAAAAGATATATCTAAATTAATCATTTTTAATGTTTTTTTAACAATGAAATTTACAACCTCAGGATTTAGAATTGAAAACACAAATACATTGGGAGAGCATTACCTTACTTTCCACACCTTGTTAATTATGTAAGTATTATAGTTATAAATGGTCCTACGTCGGTTCTAGTTCACTTTCCATCACATTAAAACCCTTTGTGAACTCCAGTGATGGATTAAACGACTACTCCCAACTATCAAGACAAATACTGTTTTTCTTTTAGTTTTGTGGGGGAGAAAAGTAAATCACTAACAATATGAATCCTTATGACTTTTTCAGCCATCCATGTTGTTATTTTACCTAACTATACTATTCCTTGACTATCTCTCTCACCTCTACCTAAGGACCCATGCATTTTACCATTTTCCTCTTTTATAATTTGATTAGTTCCATTTTTATCTTCTTCCCAACTTCTTTTGTATGTACTTGCCTCCTGCCTACTAAGTAGCACTGCTTATTGAATTTCCATGTTCAGATATTTGTATCTTGCTATTCTGCTCTCACTTGCTCCCACACTCACCCCTATCTTGCAATGGACTGGTTTTGCTTTCCTCGTTTCCATAGTTTCTAAAGGTTACATAATCACAGCTGATGATGTGGAGGTAGGAGCCTCTGAGAAGGAAAATCATGTGACGTTAAAACAAACACACTTTCCACACACTATGACAAATATGTAATAATAAAGATGACCACCACATTGTTTTTCCTGTTTGAGATTCCTTCCCAAACACTTTCAAACAAGTTCCCAAGTGTTATCATATATCACCAGGACCATGAATATTTACAGTTTCAACAAGGAGTCTCAACATTCATGCTTACATAGATTACTTGATCTGGTTAGTAGGATCAATTCACCATTGAATTGAATAAATTTAGTACTTTAAAATCAGCTTTGTAACAAAGAAATAGAAAATAACTCAACTGACCTAGAACCTTGAGCGGAAAAGAGAGCCTAATTATATCTCCAAGTTCATTTTCATATTCCACATATAGAGTCATGTGCATGTATTCATGTATGTATAGAAATAATGCAAGGAGTTAGTAAAGTGACCATTGTATAACTTCCCCATGAATATAACATGATAAATCACCCACTTTATTTTTATGTGATTTTTGGTTCTAAAATGCTTAATTTATTAAAGGAATGGACTAATCTCAATTGCCAGAGAAAAAGATCTAATTATAACATCAACATAGATTTACAGTAGCTGCACACTGATGTTCCATGTGCAGAAAAGCTGTAGGATTTGGGCTGTAGAGAGGGATTAGTGCTTCAGAGAACTTTTAACTCTAGCAAAGGACCAGGCTTAGATTCCCAGGAATGACATGATGAGTCCTGACCATCTGTGACTCTGGTTTGGGGGAATCCATTTCCTGTGACAGGGAATGTTGGTGGTACACATAAATGCACGCAAGAAAAATATTCATATAGTAAAATAAAATGAATAAAATAAAATAACAAAATAGTATTAAAGAAATGAAAGTTAAATAATTATATAAAACCTCTAGAGCAACACTCACCTCAAGCTCTGCTCTCCCAAGTAAAAGATCAGTAACCATATACCAATTACAAAATTGCAAATTTACAAAAGATATATGTATAATTATTTTAAGTAGTTTACACCTACAATTTATGAATATAGCAATGTAATATAAGTAATATAAAAATATGAAAATATAAGTTAAATAGTAGTGATCTGCAGTGTTTTTTTCCCTTTTTTCAAAGATATGTTCTTAAAGACTCTCTTCACATGTATTGCTTTGAAAATGTTTGTCACACAAAGAAAATGGTGCATCTCCTAATTGATCCAGTGGCATCTTTTCCTGCCATCTTCTGAATCCAAGACTGGACCAGAAAAGATCACAACTAACATGACTACAGAGTTGTTAGCATATGTATCCACTGATAAAAGTCATTTATTTTAATTTCAGATACAATTGCGGTTCTGGGAGTTTCACAGTAAGCTAAATTGTAATATTTGTTTGTAAGTAGTAAAACCTAAAGTGTGTCCATGAACAATCATAAAACTGTAAAAGCCACCAATCTTAAATTGACTCAGACCAAAAAACAAAGCAGTGTGCAGACAGCTGTCTCAAGAGAGGTGCAACAAGAGGCCAAGTGATGCTTTCTACGTAGTCCTATACTTAAAAAGAAAGCTCATTGTACCTCTTCATTATGACAGTAATGTTGGAAAAGTCTTGACATATGAATCTATTGTGATCTTTGCCTTCTACTTTGTAGAGATTTAGTAACCTAAGGCACATACAAACATAATAGATAGCAAGTATCAATTTTATATTAAGCTTCACAACATTTAGTAAGTAATGACCTAAAAGCTGTACAAATGCTCAGAAAGAACATAAAGTGACTATGTGACTTTCAGGTGACAAGATACAATGTTGGCTGATGTACTGTCCACTGTCAACCACAAGAATAAGTCTTCAGGAATCTCAGGAGATGGAGACCTTACTCACCCAAACTTGTTCCATGGAATCTTTATGAAATAGATTATGACAATAGAAATATTGATCACTTATTACTAAGGCATTAATTCATAGCAATTACCTGATACTCTTAAATAACTTAAATGGATGAATTATTCTTTGGAAATTGAGTTTATCACAGGTGTATGAGTGAGCACACAGATGCTTACCAGAATACTACAACCTAATAGTTATGAGCCAGTTTCCCTGAGATGAAGTAGCAGCAGCAGAGGAGTCACTGCAGAGAATTTGTGGAAGCAATCATACCCAGATTTTCTTTATCACAAATTACATGGTATAATATTAGTAAATATATGAGAATGTTTACTGTGAATCTCTCTCTGTCTCTCTCATCCCCCATCTCTTTGTGTGTGTGTGTGTGTGTGTGTGAAATTATTGTACTACCGATACGAAGAATTGAGCAATGACACAGAGTGGGTCAAGTTTACTAGCATGGATTCATTTACATCAACTGTGTAAAGAACTGAGACTTATATAAAATGTTTTTAAAATAAAATTAACTTTATGGAAAATGTAGAACGTGTTTTCTGCTTTCAGTCAACTTGATCAAATCTGTGGGCCCTGCCTACTACATCAGTGTAGATGTTTAATGTGAATTTCTGAAAATAAACTAATAAATCTGTAATGAATCCAAACATAAATTCAAGAGTTATATTTTTTAAATTGAAACTCTTTAGCTAGTGATATAATCACACTAACTAGCAGCATTTTGATCCTTTTTAAAAATCATCCATTTTGTAATTCTATATTATCTGTTTTCCAGTTCAATATTGGTGTGTGTGTGTGTGTGTGTGTGTATGTGTGTGTGTTTGTGTGTGTTTGTATTGAAGAAAAAGAGAAAGTGAGATTGCAACCTGTAGTTTAGACTGACTTCAATCAAAGCCATGTTCTACCTTCCTTACCCTTGAAGGTGCTGGGATCGTAGAGGTGTACAACCATACCTGCCTTTATTCTCCATTTTAATCTCATATATGCATTAATATCTGATATTCCAAGAAAATCAAAATGAACTTGGGGTATTCATCACTGAAACTTGAATTTATTTGCATCTCTTTGGGAATGCATATTTCCATGATCATCAGTTTTTTGTAATTATTAGAGGAAACATTGGAGGGTTTGATATAAAATAATTTTATACTATTTATGAATTACAAATATTTTTGTCAGCACAATAAAAAGTTCACTCAGTAGTGTAACAGAAGCAATGTTAAAAGGTCAAAATTAGAAAACAATATGTTATAGTTGAATTTATTTTCACTGAAACATGCCAGTATCTACTGAAAATTATCCAGTTTACCTGTTTATAAGGATAACTTTACATGTATTTAGTAAGTGAGGTGAGATTTTTAGATACTTTTGAAACACACAGAAAAGATTATTATAAATCTACTAAAGAAAATTTTATTAGAAATCTTTGCAGTACAAAAAACCAAATTTCTCAAATCTTCAAAAACTATTATGTAATGTTAACAATGTCTTAGACCATGAGTTGATACTTTCCAAAATATTTCTAGAGTATATATGAATTCTTATGTCTACAGCTCACAATATCTGCTTCTTGACTCAATTTACCTTCATCAGTTTTCTTCACATGAGACAAAAAATCAGGCTGCAGACCTAGAAGGCAGTCAATTCATGTTCTGTCATAAAGCCTGCCAGAATACAACAACAACAACAAAAAGGAATTTTCAGAAAAAGACAGTGTGGTATAAAGTAAGAAAGTGATAAAATTGAATGTCACAAAACAAAATGCCTCTAAAATTGCAAATATTATAGAAAAATATCTCAATAAACCTCTCAAAAAAGAAAACAGAAAAGAAATATCAAAATAATAACCACACCTTAACAACACAAGTTTATCAAATTCTCTTACCAATAGTCCCCTTCTAGTGTTACATATATAGTGAGAGAGATGACAT